CCCCCCCGCCCCGGCCACCATGGGTATGTGTCTGTCCTCGTACCCTACGCATATACTTCATATAATATAATGTACTCCATTCGTCCCAGTATATTCGTCAAGTTTAACTTTTTTTGAACCAAACTGAATGAACTTCATCAATACTCTTAATTTATGTTGAATATTAATACAATAAATTAAAATTTTAATAGTTTCAACAAGATAAATCTATTAAAATAATTAACTCGAAAAAATCAAACTAAACGTACACACTGTGACAGAGATTGTATGTATTAGTCGGTATATACATATTCTCCCAAGTCCCACCCCAAAAATTAATCTTACTACGTACGTACGGATCGAGTATTTCATTTCCGGATTACAATTTTGGTCTTTTGATATCCTTTTTATTTATTTGTGTGATTTAATAATTATTTGATAAAATAAAAAAAAATAAATTTATAATGCCCCCCCGTCTCTAAAAAAACTTCTTGTTCCATTCTTTGTACATTCTATAAAATATTTCTACCTCATCTAAAATATCTACAAAACAATTTCTACCCGTAATAATTTATCCATTTTTTACTTTCCTTTTTTTGTTCAGTCTTTTTTTTTAACTTTCATTTAAAAAAATGGTTGTTTGACTCCTATCTTTTATCCTTTTTTTCACCCTAGCCTAATCATAACTTAAAACATTCCGACTATTTTATTAAAAATTGTATCAAGTTGAACTAAAAAAAAAAATTTGTAGCTAGATTGGCGATCAAGTCTCTAAAGATAGATGGAGCAAAATTGAATCCAATAATTTATGTTTTAATCTTTTTTGACATCCAAGCCTACGCTTTCTTCTTTTTGACTCATTGTTCATTAAAGAAATTTCAAGATTATAAATTAAATGGTTAATTAGAAATTAGGGCGGTTAGTTTTGAGTTTTGACAAGATTTTAAAGACACATTTTAACTTTTTATTGTTTGACTTATCGTTCGAACAAAAAAAATACTTCGTATTACTGTAGAAAATAAAGTTGGGGATTCCGTTTAACACTTTTTAACATTTTCATTTTGTTGACTCGTTGCATTTTCATTATTCTTCTGCAGTTGTACGAAAACAATAATGGATGCATTGAAAGATTAGAAAATCTCACAAAACCAACTTTTAAAATTCTATCTCACAAAATCAACTTTTTAAATTCTTTATATATATATATATCATGCACTCTATGTATCTTTTCTCCAAATTAAATGTCATTTTTTTTACATTTTTAAAATCAATTTATATCATTAAAATATTACTTTTCTATCCAAAAATGATTAGCATAGTTTATCTTTTTTTAGCTAATTTGTGTAGCACGTTGAGCATAAATTGTGAAAAAATATACTCCTATTTTATTTATAATATAAATTTAGTATAATGAGTTAATTACAAAATATAGTTAAATCAAATTTTTATATATTCAAGTAACATTTAATTATTTAAGATTATATTTAAGTTGTGGTCAAAATGTTATACAAGTAACATTTAATTATTATATATACAAGTTAAATCAAATTTTTATAGTTAAATCAAATATATACAAGTAACATATACAAGTAACATTTAATTATTTAAAATTATATTTAAGTTGTGCTCCTAATTCTGGGAAAAAGGAAGTGTAGAGTTACACCATACCAAATAGTGTAACATTGTGACACCAATATAATCAGGGTAACTAGATGCTTCATTCGTAAAATTGACGATTCCTACATTCTTTTAACCCTTCTTACAAACTCCCACCCCGATCGACCTCGCCCCCTCACGACCACCTTAGCCTCTGCAATTGAACGAAGTATATAAGTGTCTTTAACATTTGGGTCACATTTTGGACTGTGAAGTCAACAAAACAAATGGGGTGCAATTGCGGGGGGCTAGAGTGATCGTGAGAAGGCGAGGTCGGGGGTGGGAGTTTAAGGGGTTACGAGGGATATGAACTGTCAATTTTACGAACGGAGCACCGCACGTCTTGATTGAAATGGTGTCACAAAGTTTTTCTCCCGCCTAAATTTTTTTTACACTTTACAATTTAAAAATTACAAGAATATTTTTTTATTTAGGTTTGCGCTTTATTTATGGATTTTCATTTATGGTTGGGAATTTTTTTTTAAGGATTTTCATTAATTATTTAGTAAAATAAAATACTTTGTTACTTTTTATTTTGTAGAGCTATTGAAGTAGCTTTTTATTTTATAAATTTTATTTTATATTTTTATATCAATATTTAATTAAAAAGATAAAAAACTTAAAATTTCACTTTGTTTAGTATGTAGTGCAAAACATTTGGGAAGAATATAAAAATGACCATTGAGGCCCTGAAATTCGCTCCTCTCCCAAAAAACGGACTCCTACGGCCTAACTCAACTAACTACGGGAAAGAGCGGCAGACCAGCACAGCTCCGCCCATTATCTCCTCCTCCTCCTCCACCGTAAGATTCTCTGCAAAATTATTAACAGAGAGAGTGGACTCACGCTCCTCTATCCAGTACTATAACTCACGCCACCATAACACATACATGCGTTTATGCGTACACAGCGGGAGATGATTTCGGGAACAATCGAGCGGGAAAGGAAGGAATCGCGGATTTCTCGTCGGGACAATCTCTCATGAATTCGCCTCCTCGATTCGATCCGCTGCAATCTCGATTGTTCGCATTGCTTGATTTCGCGATCGGGGGAGATTTACAGGGCCGAGTGCGGTAGCGCGCGCGGAGAGCTTTTTGTTTTGCGGCGAATGGAGGAGAGAGGCGGCGGCGGCGGAGGATCATTCGTGGCTGTGAGGAGGATATCTCAGGGCCTCGACAGAGGAAGCACTTGCCATTCCAATTCTGGTAACGCAAACTTTCACTGAATTGTAGGAAGAAGAAAAAAAGTGATAAGAGTAGGAAACAAATTTGATCTATGAGTAGCTTTTGCTGCATCTATCTGTAGCTAAAGGTGTTTGTTGGACTTGGATAGTAATCAGAGTAGTGAATATTGGTTTCTCTCGATGTTGTGCAGGAGTGAATTCTAGAGCTTCCAATAGCTGAGTTGAAATTTGTTTGGTTTTGTTTGATTTATTATGCCTATTTAACTGCATTCACATACTGGCTATGGTAGTTTCTTTGCTATCCTTCGTTTTCACATCTCGACTTCATCATAGCATCTCCCCTTTTGCTTTCATGAGGATTTTCTGTGGAACGGAAGTAGGAAGTATGCTTATGATTTTGTGTGGTGATTGTCTATCCATACTCGTTAAACAGGCCATGGTATTGTTTTACTATACTCTTTCTTGCAACACACAGGGAGAATATTTTACAAAGGGACACTTTTACTGTATGATCACAGTGGTATTGTTTTATGGATCAGAATTATGACTATCTAGCTGGCTTCTATGCAGACATGTGTGTGTGTGTGGTGGGGGGGGGGGGGGGGGGG